TCCGAAATGGTTGACATCGTTAGGTATATTCCCGTCGTTTCCTCATTTTGGGAGGCCAACTGGATTTGGCCGCCCGACAACGTATCTATGGCAGCCACATCGTTTCTCTCCCTCTCTCTCTCTCTCTCTCTCTCTCTCTCTCTCTCTCTCTCACACACACACACACACGCACACACATTTTTTGCGCCAGCGCCACAAAAACCACGTGATTCAAATCTGACTTTCCAGCACGAGGGCATAATGGAAAGATGAGGGCATATCGCACAGGGACCAGTGAAATGGTACTGGCGATCCAGTAAGGACACTGCGGAAAGCTGCGCCCCTTGCTGACAGGGGCCTGAAGGAAAGTTCAGAGGCCCCAGGGGGGGACAACAGGGTAAGCCAGCCTTCGGAGGGGCGCAACACAAATTTATGGAAATTACAGGGGCGCCAGACTAAATTTCCCAATAAATAACAAAACAATGTTCGTTTTTCATTTTTTTAGTTTTTTGACCCAGCTGGACAAGTGGTTCTGGGCCAAGCTGCCCACATAATACCACCGAGTCCACGTCGAATCACCTGCTCCACACAGCACCATCCAGCCCGCACTTTATGTCCAGCCCCACATGATGCTATCCAACCCACCTAGCATCATGCAGGCCATATCATACAGTCCAGACCACATGGTGTCATCGCCATGCCAAGGCCGGGGTTGTGCCTGAGTGCCTTTCTTTCGGGACCGGGGGAAAGGGCATGTATGTTTTTCTCTTTTTCTGGTGTGGTGAGGAGCAGCAGCCCCGGCCATGCGCCATGGGCGTAACCCACCACGGGCATGACTTGTGATGAAAAAAACAGACAATTTTTTAGGATGAAAGACTTAAAGAGGTCCCGATGAGAGATGCAAGGAATTTACCTTGCAAAGCACTCACTTCTTGCAGATGTATAGGTATAAGGAGCTGACGTCCAACTCGCTTTGGCTACTTTCACAACATATACGTTGTCTCCAGATTACAAGGTGCAATTTTAGTAGTTATACAGCCTATATAGTATATACCCTTCACATCGCACATAGGGAATTTGTCACATACCATACGCCTCTAGATCACATTGGCAATTTAGAAAATAATGAAGTACGCCCTAACCCATCTTTTGACTCTTTTCATTTACAAAGTTCCAATTCTTTTTTTTTTTTTTTTCTCTATACACTTAAAAGATGTAAAGCTCCCAGCGACATGCACAGTCGCGGGCCCAAGGGAAACCGGTGGAGGGGCGGAAGCGGAGGCGAGGCCCAGGCCAAGGCCCACTCACAGGCGGGTACGGGAACCAGTGGAGGGGTGAGGCCCAGGCCGAGGCGGGTACCGGATTCGGATGCGGGCGCTAGGTCCGCGGGTACGCGGAACAGTCCAGGCCCGTGAAACGCAGGCGGACGGGAGGCCCTGGGGTACGCGGAACGGCAGCGATAGAGGCGGGACAGTCGCAAAGGTGAGGCTGACGGAACCGTGCAGTCGAAGGCGGAGGTCGACGGACGCGAAGACAGGGAAGGGCACATGCAGGGGGGGGGACCTCAGATGACGTGTCTGCGTGTTGATGCATGCCGATGCCAAACGGCGGAAGGGGAGGCGCGGGGGGCAAAGAGGCAGTGGGCGGGGCGGAGAGGGAGGAGGGGGAGAAGAAGGCGGAGCAGCAGCAGGAGGGGCAGCGGCAGAAGGACAATCCATCATCTGTTGGTTAAGCGGTGTGAAAGGGAGGACACACGCGCGCACACGAGAGAGAGAGAGAGAGAGAGAGAGAGAGAGAGAGAGA